ACATACAGATTTGTGTGGACCAATGCGAACCATGTCAATGGGAGGTAATCGTTACTTTTTGACATTTATAGATGATTATAGCAGGAAAATATGGATTTATTTGCTGAAAGAAAAGAGTGAAGCATTTGAAAGATTTAAAGCATTCAAAGCCCTTTCGAAAATGACAGTGGCTACAAGATCAAAACCATACGATCTAATCGAGGTGGGGAGTGCATCAGTTATAAGAAGTTTTTAATCAAGCATGGTATTCAACATCAGAAAACTGTTCGAGGGACTCCAAAACAAAATGGAGTTGCCGAAAGGAAAAATAGAACCATCATGGAGTTGGCTTGAAGTATGTTGACAGCAAAGAGGATGCCAAAGATTTTTTGCGGTGAAGCAGTATCATGTGTGGTATATTTACTAAATCGAGTTAAAACAAAAGTTGTTCAAGGAATGACTCCTTATGAAGCTTGGAGTGGTTTAAATCTAAGTGTTAATCATCTAAGAATTTTTGGCAGTATTGCTTACTCCCATATTTCAAACGAGAAGAGAGGTAAATTGGATGATAAATCTGAAAAGTGTGTTTTTGTTGGCTACAGTGAAAGTTCGAAGGCATATAGGTTGTACAATCCTACCTCAAAGAAGATAATTATCAACCGAGATGTGAAGTTCAATGAAAAAGAAGCATAGAAACGGGAAAATACCATTCAAGAAAAGAATTCAACTGTTGTGGATATGGAAAGCAAAGAAGAAGATCAAGATGTTCAGCATGTTGAAAACACACCAGATTCTCCAAGCTCGAGTTCATCATCATCAAGTGATGAAGAATCTCCTCCTCCAAAAACAAAAAGCATCCAGTAAATTTATGAACAGTAAGAAGAATTGATGGGGATGACTTGATAAATTTTGTGATGTTTGCTAATGCAATAAATTTTGAAGAAGCTGCAAAAGATAAGAAATGGAAGAAAGCTATGGACCAAGAAATTGATGCAATCAAAAGGAATAAGACATGGGAATTGACCGAGCTTCCAAAAGACAAGAAACCACTTGGTGTGAAGTGGGTTTACAAAATAAAGCTAAATGAGAAGGGAGAAGTGGACAAGTACAAGGCAAGACTTGTTGTGAAAGACTACAAACAAAAGCATGGCATCGATTATGAAGAAATTTTCGCTCCAGTGACTCGATTAGAGACAGTTCGATTAATTCTTGCAATAGCAGCTTAAAGAGGATGGAAAATACATCAAATGGATGTAAAATCAGCATTTTTAAATGGCTACATCAAAGAAAAGTTTATGTTGAGCAACCACTTGGTTATATGAAGAAAGGTGAAGAAGGCAAGGTATGTCATTCGAAGAAGGCCTTATATGGTTTAAAACAAGCTCCAAGGGTTTGATACAGTCGCATTGATAGTTTCTTCATAAAGAATGGGTTCAGGAGATGTCTTTATGAACATGCTATCTACACTAAAGAAGACAAAAGTGGAAATATTTTAATAGTTTGCTTATATGTTGATGACTTAATTTTCACCAGCAATTGTAAGAGGATGTGTGATGAGTTCAAGATGTCGATGATGAATGAATTGGAGATGACAGATATGGGTCTTCTTCATTATTTCCTTGGAATCGAAGTTAAGCAAGAAAGTGGTGAGATCAAAATTTCACAAAAGAAATATGCAAAAGATTTGCTTGCAAAGTTCAAAATGGAGGAAGCCTCACCAAGTACAGCACCCATGGAAGTAGGTTTGAAGTTGAGCAAAAATGTTGGGAGTGAAGATTTTGATGCTACTGTCTATAGAAATCTTGTGGGAAGTCTTATGTACTTAACCGCAACAAGACCAGATTTAATGTTTTCAGTTAGCATTTTAAGCAGGTTCATGGCAGCACCAAAGCAAAGTCATTGGGATGCTAGAAATAGAATTCTGAGATATGTTCGAGGTACAATTGATCATGGAATTCATTACAAGAGGGGTCAAAATTCAACTTTGACCGGATATAGTGATAGTGATTGGGGAGGTAGTGGAGATGATCACAAAAGTACTTCTGGATATGTCTTTAACATTGGTTCAGGTGAAGTATCTTGGGCATCGAAGAAACAACCTGTAGTAGCACTTTCAACTACAGAAGTTGAATATATTGCTTTGTCCACAGCTGGTTGCCAAGCACTATGGTTGAAATGGGTATTAGAAGATTTGAAGTATTTTCAGGTGAAAGATACTATTTTGTTTTGTGATAATAATTCAGCAATTGCACTTAGCAAGAATCCAGTTTTTTAGGACAGAAGTAAGCATATTAGAATCAAGTATCACTTCATTAGAGATTTGGTTAAAGATGGAGAAATTGTCATCAAACAATGCAAAACCGAAGATCAGATTGCAGACATTTTTACAAAAGCATTGAAGTTAAAAAGGTTTATCAAATTGAAGGAGAAACTTGGAGTTGCACAAGTCTAGCTTAAGGGGGGATGTTGGAAGATTAATCTAGACTTGTCTAGATTCATCTAAGAAAACCAAGTGATACTTGGGAAGGTGCAAAGAATCTCATAATAATTGCTAGTACATGTAACATTTTGGTGTATATGAAATATTTTGATTTATTGTGTAGTTCATTGCATGTATTAAATTCATGTACTAGAAGTATCCATTGAGTAATATAAATAGGTGAGTCATGTAAGCGTATTTAAAAACACAAACAATTGAGCAATATAAGATAAAGAATTCAATTTTATATAAGTGAGTGTTTTTGAATGGTGTGTTTATTAATTCAGTTGAATATATGTGAGTATATCCCATTTGTGTTCACTAGCCCACCAACTTTAACATATTTTTCATTCATCTAAATACTTATATCTTTTCTTGTGGAGTAAAAATTTATAGTCCACACCTTTTATATATATATATATATATTTGTTAGACTGTGTGTAATATTTAATTTGAAGTTACTTGATCTTTTTATGGGATGAAAATATATATAGTATATATTAGCCCATTCTTGCTTTTCATTAAGTTATTTTTTTGATAAACAATACAGTGATCCCTATGTGGTATTTTCCCAAATGACAATGAAACTTCTCTCCCGTCATCATCTTATTGATGGGCTACCCTAGTTGTATATTTTTTTAATGTCGAATTACCTATTGAAAAATTATATTTGTTGAGGACAACTTTCAAATACTCTCTTATAACTATGACCGATGACTATGTTTTTACTCTAATTCATGATTTTAGTTTCATCATGTGTTACATAGAAAATGATGTCTTGCATGAAGTTCAATTGGCAATAAACTGTAAATTATCATCATTTGTCAACAATAATTAGAAAAAGAAAAGAAAGAAAATAAAAAACTATGACTTCCAATTTTAATACAACTTGAGGTGTCTAATCACTTTTATTAGGTCTATATGTCCGACACCTTTTATGTACCATTCCAATCTAGGCGTAAGCATAGATTTGTTTGGCAATTAATTAAAGTTTAAAACCTTTTGATATCCACGTTCACACCGCTATGAAGCATGGAAAACGATTCGAGATATAAGATAAATTCTTTACAAAAGTAAGATATGTGATGCGACTTTGACATGACAACATACACATTCCTAATATAGATATGCACAAAAATTCATATACAAGTAACTGTATCTGATAAGTGTGACATATTTGGGCAATGTATTAAACATAAATAACTTTTTTTTTTTTAAATAATTAGAATATTTTTAGAATGTATAGCAGCATCTCCAAAGAATATCGACGTATCCATAGAGTATCTATGGGACTTGTTTGAAATGTGTTAATATTATTTTTTTATATCGGTCTTTAAATTTGGATACATATTATGTTTGGAATAATTGATATTGATTTGAAATAATTAATAACATATTAAATTTTTTGGCCCAAACTTATATCACTAAATTGATGATATTGTATTTTTTGGTACTGTAAAGGAGGAACTAACGCAAATTTTTAAAATTTTTAAAACAAATTTTCGTTACCAAACATAAGTCTGATTTTTATCTAAAACACTCCTACAACAAAACATTTGTTTTGTATTGATCAAAAACATAACGCGCCATACCAAACGGGCTTATAATGTTCAGATTTGTTCGGTAATTGACTGAGTTGGGCCATAACAAGCAGAGTCCAAATATTTCCCATTGGGCCGACGCTAAATATTTTTAAAGCATTGCAGGCCAAAGTGTCAGGACCACTGGGCCTACAAACAGTCTATTAAGTTGGACCATGGCCTAAATCCACATCAATTTCGGAAATAAACTAGATGTCAGTATAGTAAACTTAAAACTCTTTTATCCATTAGTTTTGGCTATGGATAAGAACAAGGTCGGTAACATGAAAAGAATTTCGTCGAATTGTAATAAAATTAAAAAGTTTATTATAGTATTACTTTATCAATTTATTTTATAATAGTAATAGTAAATTAGTAATAAACTATTTTTTTTTTTTTTTTTCCAATTTTAACGGATGTGGATATAGTTATTTGAAAAGTTTTTCTTGATTTATGAATAGACTAACAGATATTAGAAAAAACAAAATATGTTATCAATTAGTTACTTTAAAATCTATAAAAAAAAATAATCTAATTATTAAAAAGAAAGATATGGTTTTTGCTATCAAATGGTTATTCCGAAATGAGATATCGATGCTAAAAAATTTAACCAGACTTGTCCAGTTCCTTCAAATACATTAATTTTTCTTAAATTTACCCTAATTAAATGTCCAACCATCTGCAAGTATATTAATATAACTACTACTAAGTACGTACTAGTTAGAAGTGGTTAAGTAAATAATATTATGAATATTTAAAATTTTCTTATTCATATTATTGCAACGATGTAATTTATTATTATTATTATTACATTTTTTGCCATGGAATTTAGGAAAGTCAGTTGACACTTACGATATTACTACTAAATACAAAAAAGTTATCAGTAATGCGTGAGCCTTGCGTTATAGAATTAGAAAATTCGTTTCCGTGTTCCAAATTGTTTTTAAAAAAATGGAGCAACCTTAGCCGGGTCGGGCCTACTGCTAAACCCTCTCCAAAATCAGCCACTACAGTTGGAGAGGAGAGAGGAGAGAGGAGAGAGGAGAGAGATGAAGAGAGCAGTGGGGAAGCGAACATTGAAGAGCATGTCAGTTGTGTGGCAAAACTACAACACAGCCTCACCATCACCATCAACCTCAAGGGCCTTCAGTTACCGAATCATAAAATCTCCTCCTCTGCTTTCCCTTGACCTCCCCGATATATGGACTTCAGATTACACCCATTTCGATCCCCCCTCTATTTCAAAATGCGGTAAGTTGATGATTTTACTCTCTCTCTCTCTCTCTACGTATATGTATATATATATGTTTCTCTCTAGTCATATTTTAGTTTTCTGTGTCTTGCCTCTATTACTTCCACATAATTGATTAATCCACTTGAACAATTGGCTTCAATTAGGAATCCATCTTTAAATGCTTCAACATGGGATTTTTTTTTAGTTTCCAATTACATGGAGTTTAGTTTTATTCTAAGCTGTTAATTCTCCTATTGGCTGGGTTCTTTTGAGTAAGAAAATAGTTAGCTTCACTCTGTTATGATTTTTCATTATTGTGCTGTTGTTTTTGCTTCATTGTTAACAATATTGTCAAAATTGTACCATTTGCAATATGTAGCATACAGTTGGTCTCGATTTATTTGCTAAATGATTGGTATCTTGATGATGTATTTAAGTTGCCAATGTTTCACGCTATACATTGCCATGTCTTGCATTTGTAATAAATGATACAGACTATTAACTAGGTTTACCATCTCGTTGGCCAATTAATTGAATGTTTTTATTTTATTTTATATGGATTAAGAAGGAATTCGGTCTTTAAGACCTTTTATGCTTGAAGAAGGGTATTTGGGGCTATCAATTTCCTTTGTCATTTAAAATGAAAAGAATTTTTAGGGCCTTCCTCTTCTTTACACAGGATTTGGATTTATCTCCCCAAAACTCCTCCTCTCATTAAAATTTGAGTTTTTTTAATTATCTACATTAAAGTAGTTATTTTTCTTCTTTTTTAATTAAAAATTGGGAGAAAGGGAAATAAAGGAGAGAGCTATGAATTGTATGGGATCATTGCACTTTGAGGTGTGCAGTTTGCTAGTGTAGTAACACTCATTGTAGTTTTATTCAGATGAAACAACACTTAGCTTATTACCAGAATGATATTGCTGACTTGTAGTCTTAATTATATGTGTGTTTTGAATATAAAGACCTTTCCTCTTGCACCTTTCATCAAACATAAAAGAACAATATCGGAATGCGAGATACATACTACTATGTTACACGGACTCTGCAAAAGTAGGTGAAGGTACTCGTGTGACACACAATACTGGAACACAAGTTAGCAACTTTGGTTGGAATCAAAAGGTGGAGATGAGATACAGTCATACAACTACTGTGCTTATTTTCAAGAATGATTTGTTCTTTTGTAATAATGGATTAGAAGGGTGTTTTAAGTGTTATTACAATGAATTTATACTGTTGTGTTCTAAATAGCTTTTTGTGATGAATTCATTATGTTTTATTGTATTGAGTTTTTGAGAATTTGTGCCTTCAGATCCTAAGAAGATTAATCTAAAGACACCATTTACATGAATGTCAAGATCCACAAATTCAGTGACCATTATGGGCATAACTGTTCAAAGCTGAAAATTTCCATTAACCACTTTTCACTTTCCTTTTAACTTCAGCTCAAATTTTGATTTTTTGTCCTATACACCATGCGTGTGGCTTTTTTTTCCCTTCCTGTTTCGTTTACCTTCCACTGGGGCCTGGGGTTTTTTTCCTTATGTCGGGGATGTACACCTTGCATATTTTGTACCCTCTTTTATATGGCTTAAGGTACATTTATCATTTATTCCTCAAAGGGCTAAATCAAAGTGCCATTGTGTTGTTCATATTAGTACAGTATTGAGGTTTCCCTTTTAAGTTCTTCTCGACTCATATATAACTAACGTTATGTCATTTCCGTATCAAATAGAAAATATTTTTTCTGTTTTCATCAGTGTCATTTCAAAGTCCATGGTCAATGTGCTAGACCGGGTATTTTTAGTGATTTTTGCTCTATCTAGTTATTTTTAATTGTCATTGTGATTGAAACTGCATGGAAATCAATGCCAAATCAATAGACGGACCTACCCATTAAGAGTTTTTAATCAGGGAGCATGCGTACCCAAAAACATGGTCTCTCCTCCAAAACTGAATTCTCCGGTAGGAAAGCATTTAGATATTTATCTAAGCCAATAGCTAATATGTCAGTATGGTACCTGTCCGGTCAAATGATGTGGGAAAGTGGTCCACCATTTTTTTTTTTTTGGCGTGATTGGGTGGTGTAGAAGAGAGATCTTTATCTTAATAGGCAAAATACAAAGAAACATATTCAAGATGGATTCAATGAACAAGCCAGTATGAGGACTACAAAGCATGAATACTTCTATAAGGGGGCCGTATCTGTATCATATACGTATCAGGTACCGGTACTCCTTGGATACTCGCAAATATGTGATCTGACTCCCTAAACATTTCTATAATTTAATATATATATATATACGCGCGCACACACATAGATATATATCTAGCATGTATCCTGTATTTCTCAATTCTCAGATACTCTGACCATATATTCAACATTTCTCCTATACTTCAAGGCACATGTTTGAAATGCGTTGAACATTTTAATGCAATTTTTCTAAGTACAATATTGTATCATGATTATTAAGAAAAACATGATAAGAGTTCTAAATACTTATACTTTCTATGAAAAGGAAGAAATGAGAGAGAATGAGAGTCTATCATTTCTAATGTAATTCAAAGTTTATGTCCATGCAATGTAACTCCCAGATAGTTTGTCATAACTATTCCAAGGGAACATTAGTAATAATATATATAACATAACAAACCATTGTTGCTTTAAATTTGCATGCAGATATATATTTATATATATATATATATATATTAAAATTTTTATAGTTTATACATATCTATATAAATATAATATATATACTTCTGCATTGATGTGTCCTTCTGGTATCCTTATCCTATTTTGAATATTTTTCTGTATTGCCATCTCTCATGTCGTGTCCATGCCCAAAGCTTGAGAAGTTTTCCTTTCTAACTTGAACTACTTCTTCGATCCTACTTTGTTTTACCTCATCGGTCATTAAATTTTTCTTTCAACTTTAAAACCTTGCAGATTTGTAATTTCATAATTAGCTAAGCCTTATGGCACAGCTTACCTTGGTTTCTGGCTCAGAGGGTTCTCGTATGTCACAATTTTATTATTTTGTGTTACTCTGCTCACATTTATATCAGGCTTCTACTGTTTCCATTCTTTCCATGCCAGCCCCCCATTAAACCCAGTGTGGTTAATATCTGTTGTTCACCACAGCCAATGGACAGACTGCAAGAGTCATTGATGGGAAGTTAATTGCTGAGGAAATTTTATCAGGAATTTCTGTTGAAGTAAGAAGGATGAAGGAGTCCATTGGGAAGGTTCCTGGTTTGGCAGTAATTTTAGTGGGTCAAAGAAGGGACTCTCAAGCTTATGTCCGTAACAAAATGAGAGCTTGTGAAGAGACTGGAATTAAGTTTGAGATGACCGAACTGCCTGATAATTGCACAGAAGATGAAGTTCGTAATATATTGTCAAGTTTTAACAAGAAACCTTCAGTTCACGGAATTATTGTACAGCTACCTCTACCACAGGTGATTTGTCTGTGTTATACCTTTTTCATCTCTTACTTTGAGTTTGAAACTATGGATTTGAGTTTTTGGATGCACGGATGTTCCTTTATTTTTATCACATTTAAGCCCAACTACCATAATTTATGAGAATTATTTAAAAAAGAAAAAGAAATGAAACAAGAATTGTACCCAAAATGTTATGACTTACTTTCTTGGAGGCTTTGACTTAATACCGCTTCCTCTTCCCCACTACCTGTATGCAAGGATGTCAGTTACCCACCCGTTTGGTAAATATTTTCTTGTGGAAATTTTTCTTGAAACAGCAGATAGTTGTAGAGGAAGTGGATCCCCATTAAGATGTGGTGGGGTAGATGGCCAAAATGATTCAGTTTTCCTTGGATTATTTGTTAAAAGTTCCATTATCATGTGATTCATGTATATGGATTTGAGTAAATGATTGAGACAATTGAAATAGCCTGCTGAAACAATTATGTTGGATAATTTACATTTAACCATACCTGCTTTTGTGGTGAGCTGTGACATTTCTAGTTGCACGTGTAGCACTGGGTTTGTGAGCTTTAAATTGATTGCAATAAAAGTTTTTTTGGCATTAAATGGATGGCTAACTAAAATGTCTGGAACAGCATTTGGATGAGATGAGGATATTGGATGTGCTGAGCTTAGAAAAAGATGTGGACGGCTTCCATCCGCTCAACATGGGGAATCTAGCCATGAGGGGAAGGGAGCCGTTGTTCATCCCCTGCACTCCAAAGGGTTGCATTGAGTTGCTGCTCAGGTCTGGTGTGGAAATCATGGGGAAGAACGCTGTGGTAATAGGGAGGAGTAACATTGTTGGATTACCAGCATCATTGCTGTTGCAGGTGATACCGTGTTTCTGTTTTCTTCAAAATATTGGTTGTATATAATGCTTCTATTAGTAGATTGAGTAGGGATTTTTTTCAAATTGTTGGGCAGAGGCACCATGCTACAGTCAGCATTGTGCATGCATTCACAAAGAACCCAGAACAGATCACCAGCAAAGCTGACATTGTGGTCACAGCTGCAGGAGTGCCGAATCTAGTCCGCGGCAATTGGCTAAAGCCTGGTGCAATTGTTATTGATGTTGGAACAAATCCAATCGAGGTAACATTAGGTTCTATTATTACTGCAGAAATTGCCTGAGGACCCCAAATATCTAAAATAGGTTAATGCAGACTGATGCAAAAGAAAATTTGCATTAAGTAACGAATGAAGTATATTATGCTATTTACTAATTATATTGTTTTAACTGATGAACCCGAGTCAGGATAAGCGTATTAGATGTACGGAGAGAATCTCTAGAATCAAAAGGATTTAAGATAAGTAGCCCTAAAATGGAAATGATTTAAGATAAATAGCACTAAACCTGAATATATAGAATGTGACCATAGCCAAACTACAAATACAAGTAGGGCTATAATGAAAATCGAGGGTCAAGAGACAAAAAATATATAACATTTTTTGTATATTAAAATTAACTATTCAAAAAACTAGAGAAATTGAAGATGATGTTGATCATAGAACCAAATTAAAATGGGTTAAATCAAGTCATGCTTGCAGCATATGCCTCTAAATTTGAATGGTAAATTCTATAAAAACAAGTATTAGGTCATGAATTCTTTAATAGAATGTTGCGTAGACGGTTAAGAAAACAACATATTCATAAAATGAGTATACCTGAAATGCGAATGTCGAGATGGGTATATGATTTGAAAGGATCAAATTAGTAACGAATTTGTGAGTTGGTTACTAAAACACCAATTAGAGAGAATGAAAATGAGATGAAAATTATTTGGCCATGTGCAGTGAAGGCTAATAATTATACTAGGAAGAAAGAATGATATAGTACACATTGAGGGTAACATTAGGTGAAGAGGAAGAACAAAACTAACATGAATTGAGTTAGTAAGAAAAGATACCATTACATGTGGATTGTGGATTAAGTGGAATGACAAAACAAGATTCATGTAGGAGACCAAGACTTTATGAAGTTCGGTTGAGCTGAATTTAAGGACTCTTTAACTACTAAGAGAAACTCAATTTTTACCTAAGACAACATGGTTGAGAGTGATTGCATGTATCCACATGTAAAAAGTCTCAATTCAAAATGTGTGCGACTCCATGGCTTATTCAAAAAGGGGGAAAAATACTGAAAAAATAAATCAATAGAAACAAACAGGGAGAGAGAGAGATCACATATGTTTAATCAGCATGCAATAGGATGTAAATATAGCCTTTGTAAATTTTTTTTAGATTTGGTCCAAGTTGAACTAATTTTCTTTTTGTTTAACATCACTGATGAGCAGGATCCCAGCTGCGAGCATGGTTACCGTCTGACAGGAGATGTTTGCTATGAAGAAGCAGCAAGGGTAGCATCTGCAATCACCCCGGTGCCTGGAGGAGTGGGACCTATGACAGTTGCCATGCTCCTCTCCAACACTCTTGACTCTGCCAAGCGTGCTTACAACTTTGCTTGACTGTAAATCTCACTCTCACTCTCTCCATTGTATCTTTTTAGGGTAATATAAGTCCATCCTTAATCTCATGAAATTGGGAAATTCCATATTTATTGCAACATTTTCTGCAATAATGGGGGTATGATTGCACTTGTTGCACATGAATTCCTTGAAGTTTTGCATAATACTCCGTACTCTTCATAGAAACACACGCCATTCCCATAGAAAGAACAAAAGGAGAGCTCAGAAAAATCTAACGTTTCCCTTGAAAAGCTGAATTAAAATTTTTGGATTTTACAAATTATGCATATGGATTCTCTAGCCTTTTTGTCAAGTTGTCAAGCTTAAAATCACTAGTGATCTCCAATCAGATTGTTTATATTTATTTTCAGATTTAATATATGATTTTTTGGGTTCAAAATTTATCTAAATGAGTCGGAATTCAAGTGAAACTTCCTGTTTCGTCTTGTTTAGACTACAGTTTCTATATGCTTTGTATTTTAGTTGCTATTATCAATTATTTGTTTACAAAAGATTTTAGGAAAAGTGCTTTTTATTAATTTTAAAAAAAAAAAGTGTTTTTTTTCATTGTTTTCATTGCTTTGTTAGATCTTTAGATTTGTTGAATTTATGACCAAATCTTTCAGGCAAAAATTTTAAAATTAATTTTTGTTAGTTCAACTGTCTTGGATTTTACCAAATTTTATTGTTTATTTATTTATTTATTTATTTTGCACTGTTGCGTGTCGGGATACCTCCTCTGTGATAGAGAAAAATAAATAAATATTTTTTTTCCTTCTTGTTTTTTTCCACCTCTATCATTGCTGATTGCTTTCTCTAGCAACTTTTTCAAATATATTCACACTATGATTGAAATTCTGTCACTGGTCTCTTATTTAATATCAAATTGATTTGCCTGAAAGAAATACATACATATATATATATATATATATATATATATATATATTATAAATTATTTAGGGAAAAAATTGATTATAAATTTTTACTGCACGAAACGAATTATATACATATATATATATATATATATATTATAAATTATTTAGGGAAAAAATTGATTATAAATTTTTACTGCACGAAACGAATTATTACCCCTAGGCGTGATTTATTTTTCTAAAAAACTGGGTTTACAAGTTCCATTTTTTTATCTTTTTTTAAAAAAAAAAAAATGATGGAAGAAGAAGAAAAGAAAATAAAATAAAATTTTACTACCCTGTCAAACAATGGTTCAATTCGGGAAGATTTTGTTCTCTCTTCTTATCAAAATTTAACTTTTACCTAAATTCTAAATGACAAGCTTACTCTTTCCAATTTCTTACAACCGCTTCATCCATCAGACATGGTGGTAGAACAAACCAGTAATCATGTGCACAAATTTATAACCAGATCAAGCACTAAACGACGGTCCAAAACCATGACCATAATGGTAATTGGCATTTTGCCAAAATCTCGCTTACCATGCTTAATTACATGTGCTTCCCCTCTAGCTGCAGTAACCCAATGCCAAAAGACGAAATGATAAAAAGTGAAAAATGTTTCTTAAAAGGTGAAGACAACATTCTACTCCTCAAAAAGAGAACAAGAGGCTAACATATATTACCTCATAATTCATTAGGTGCTCACTCTTTAGTTCTTCGCTTACATTGTACAAGACAAGACATGATTTGATTGGACAACAGGTTATATACAAACATTATACAATATTTTTTTCATGAGCAAGCAGCAAGTTCCATTAATGAAGCAACTGGAGTGAGACCATCAACCCCAGGAGATTGGATAAATAAGAAAAAGAAAAAGAATGGAGATGATACAAACGAATGTCACTGTCACATGAATCCCGGGAAGCCTCAATCTGGCAACATAAACTAGACCCGTCCTCTCATCCTTCTACTTTAGTTCCTGATTGCACCGGCTCCACTACTGGTGGTATACAGTCAACCTTGTAACGCAAGGCCTACCAAGAATTTTAACATTCTAAATCAGGCAAAGGAAGCACAAAAAATTTACCCATGCCCACAGTTATAAAAATTTGCAATATGAAAACCAATAGGAATTTGTAAGTTCCAGACAGTCAAAATTCTGCATCAAGTTATCATCATGGGCAAAGGAAGCACAAAAAAGTCAATGTTTGCCTACCTTCTTAAAGAAACTTGAATATGAATTGTCCCATATGAATTTGTAAGTTCCAGGTATGCATGTGCAGAAGTTACCCTGCAATAACTGTGTGTAAAAGATCCGTACAGTAATGCACACAGTAATATCAATTACCAGCAATAAAGCTCCAACTCACTTGGTCAGACTCATAACGCCGGTATGGCAGGATCATCTGTAGAATAAGAACCCATGCCCCCAACATAAATATAAGAGTAGAAAAACTGAAGTCAAAAAGTCGAAACAAAAAAAAAGAAGAAGAGCAATGTAGGAGCCATCACAAGATGGCATCTTAACTAAAAGAAAATGTTCAGAACCAGATAAGAAAGAACACTCACTGTTATAGGGGTAAACTTACATTCTTTTGACCCGAAGGATCTATGCACTCTATGCTAAACCCGATATCCTGTAGCACAACAATATAAAACTCAAATATATAAAGAGCAATCTACTCTACTAACTAGAGTCATGGATTTTGCAGAAGTGCAGCAATCTCAACTAACAAATACCCAAGCTAAAATTTTCTACATCAAATTTCATCACCACAAAAATAAAGACTGAACTCAATGACACATGGCGAGATAAATAATATATAAACATATATAGCAAGAATATATAACTTAAATTGAAGTTGAGAAGTTCTGTAATAGTCTTCAATGTAACACTTACATCAGTAAGCCCCTAACAATCATACTTGAGGCAACAGATCCATAACCGTAAGGCGACAAGCAGCTAAATGGGCTGTACATGTACATTTTAGTTACAAATTAAAGGAATAAACACAAGGCATGCATATAGGCATGCTTGCAGGTTCTCAATGACACTTCTACCTGACCCAAAGAAAACACAATAACTAATCAGAACATGAAAGGAAGGACTGGAGAACTTTTATGCACTGTTCTTTCATTGTTTTTCTTTAATGAATGGATAACTTCATCAGAGGGAAAGAAGCCCAGACCCTACATATATAATAAATAAAAACTTCAAAAGCCCAAGCAACAGTCATCTAGAAATTCCAAGAATAGGGCTCTCATAGCACAAAGTATTACTCGAGAAAGAGTCCTGCGAGATTTTATCGGATGTCCCCGAAAGGTCCTAAAAGATATCGTTAAGATTTTGTTATGTTTAGAAAGTATGAGCACTTGCCTTCCATAACCAAAAACATAAAAATAAAAATAAAAATCCAGACCATTTTGCCATTCTGATCACTAAACCACCAACCACTCAACATATTGAGCACCGAATGATGCAAAACCGAGCTTATAGTGGGCAAGGAAAATAAGGAGGCCCAGATTTGTAGATTTCTTCCACAACAAAATCAGAACTAATAATTTATTACCATCAACATTTTTTTACCGTTCTTGAATGCTACAAACAACTTTTATACTTGTGATGCCCATAAGATTTGAGAACCAGATCGTCGGTCTTCATCTCCTCATGAAGTAAAAAAAGAAAACAAAAAATTGTTTACTCAACATGACAAATAGATTAGGAAATAGCACATCTTAGTTAGCAGCTAATGATTGCACCACATAAATAGAGTTCATATTGTCACCAAAGCAAGCTTTCCAAGGTAGTCCCCAGACTAACCATTTGTCAACACAAATCCTCAACCATCATTCTAAGCCCTACATCTATCAGATATACCATTTCCAGTACGATTGTGACTAAAGAACAACTACCCTCCCTCATTGTAAAACCACTTCTTTAGTTTTTCTGCCAGTGTGCTAACTTATTCCAAGGTCACATGCTCCACAGAGCATTCATATCACGCGTGGATTTCTAATATGACACAAGTTTGACATAAGCTTTAGAGTTCATGACTAAAATCTGTTATGTGGAATAATAATAGGGATAATTACACTAACCTCCCTTGAGGTTTTGTCAACCTACACTGACCTCCCCTCTTGTTTGTCAAATTACACTCACCTCCCCTAACAAGCATATAAGATGGACAGCGTTAATGGAAATAGTAAAATTACTAATTTACCCTTTGTCCACGCTCTCTCTTTACAATAACATCACGGTGCTCCGAACATCATCTCCGGCGAACCCAGTTCAGTCTGGTGAAAGCCACAGTGATGACCACTCTGCGATTTCATATATATATATATATAAATCCACATATATATTGAGATATATGTATCCCACGGGCTCTGTTTTCTTCAAGCTCTCTCTCGGTTGGGTCTCTTAATGAAAAATCTCTCTTGTATATAAATCGCTAACCCATCGTATACAAATGTGTATAGCTCTGTATTTGTACCGTTGAAGTATGGTTCAATCAAGGCTCACCGAAATCAATGGAGTTCCAATTCTATGAGGTGTTTACCAGAATCAATGGAAGCTGGTGCCGGTAAACACCATGTCCACCCTGTATATACATATATCTATACACACACCCCCATAACCATCCACCCACCGTCATCTTCAACACAAACCGCGTCGGCAGCCAAACATGATCCAAACCACGTGAATGAATCTAACCTGCTTCTTGATCATTAATTTCTCAAAAAAATAAAAAATAAAAAATAAAATCCCAGAAGTTGTGTCTGTTTGTAAAGAGGGAAAATAGCTTTCTCGGCCGTCACAGAAATGGGTTTGCTCGTTGCATGAAGCGTTGCCAGAGAGGAGTGCACCCGAAAGACAACTTGCCAAACTGAAATGGGTGGTTTACGCCAAAACTATGAGCTCGCCATCACAATGGAGCTTTGTTGTTCGCCGTCGTGAGCTTCGCCGATGGATTCTTCATTCCTTGCCGGTGAGTTCTCCATGCCGTGGTTCCTTTACCGCTGTTCATTATTGCTTGACCCCGTTCTTCTTTGCTCGCCAACCAATCGTTGCTAAATTTAGTGCTTGCATCACGGCCGAATCCTTACACTATTAGTCGTCGCTTGCTCGGCGAAACCTAAGTCCAACGAGACTCCAGCATCATCATAAGCTTCGGCTAACCTTCAAAACCCATCTCGACGAAGCTTCCCGGCACCATCGCAGACTGCCCATTGCAAGTTTTATTGCCCTTATCAAAAGCTAAGCACGCTCTCTCTGGGTGTGTATCTATATTTCTCTGTCTACAAATTTTTGGTTCTAATGTGGTTCAGTCTAAACTGGGTTTTGCAGTCACCGGAACCAAGGAAGGTCTCAAGAGACGACGATTTTGTTGTCACCGGAGTTGCAGTTTGTTCGTCGGAACTGGGTTTCACACGGAGGAGTGTTCTCGCTGTTGATTGGTTCATTTAAGCTACGCTGCTACTTGGACGATTTTGTTGTCACCGGAGTTGCAGCTTGTCGCCTTGAATGGCTTAAGGCGTTACAGTTGAACAAGGTGAGCGCCTTTGTATAACAGGCGCAAGGCTACAGGCGCGCCTGCTTGAAAAATGGTTTTTTTATTTTATTGTTTTGTTATTATTTTGGTTTTTTATTATTTATTGTTACTTTTTATTTGTTTATTACTTCTTATGACTACAAAACTTACAAGTTACACAACAACAACAACAACAACAACAACAAAAAAGAGATAGAGGTAGCGAAGGATATCATCTGCGAAGCCTCTCAGTCTCAGACTCTTAGATCTACCGGATCTATCATCTCTCAGTCTCGGATCTGCCCGTAAGTTCTCCTTCTCTCTCTTCTTCTTCTCTCCTCCTCTTCTTCTTCTCTCTTCTCTTCTCTCGAGTCTCGTCAAATTTTTTTTTTTCTCTTTTCTTCTTCTTCTCTTGGATCTCTCAAGTTTGGCAGATTTTTTTATTTATTTATTTTTTTTTATTTGATTTTTTTTTTTTTTTTCCTCTTTTCTTCTTCTTCTCTCGGCTCTCTCAAGTCTGGCAGTTTTTTTTCTTTATTTTTTTTTATTTGATTTATTATTATTATTTTTTTTTCTCTATTCTTCTTCTTTTCTTCTTCTTCTTCTTTCGGCTCTCTCGAGTCTGACAAATTTTTTTATTTATTTTTAGGCTAGGCCAACTTGGTCCTCTATTTTTATTTATGTTGGTCCTCTGTTTTTTTTATTTTTATTTTTATGCTTGTCTAGATTAGTGCCTTGCATGTGTTTGATGATCATCCCCTCTCTGTTTCTATTGATTTTGTTTACTCCTTATTAATCTGTTTAATAGAGATCAATCAATCACTTACCCAAAAATGAAAAATAGAATCAATCATGGTGCTTACAGAAAATTAGATTGATTGATTTGATTTGAAACTATAGCACATCCTTGTGGTTTTTGCAAGATAAATTCATAATTTCTATTTAATGCATCCAAACATGGTGCTTGCAGCTTGCAAAAATGTTTTATTCAACGTGCATCTTTATGTTAATATGTTTGATTATTCACTGTTGAACTCAAGTACTTGATTTAGTTGGCTTTGGCATCTTTATGTTGAATATTGAATTTAAGTAATTCATTTAGTTGACTTTTGCATCTTTATATATACTATTGCATCTTTAATACTTTATTGGGTGGGGTTTTTTTTTTTTTTTTTTCAACTTGCGCCTTGCTTCAGTCGGGGGCGCATCTCGCCTTGCGCCTCAGGCTCCAGGTTGCATTTGCGCTTTTGTGCACCTTGAGCCTTTAACAACTATGGGCTCACCGTAATGATGAGACCCAAACTGAAGCACACAAGGGTAGAATGGGAATTTGATAAATAAAAAAATGCTGACATCATCATTTTCCGTCAAAAACAGTGTTTTTTGTTAACGGAGGGGAGGTCTATGTTATCTATATACAAACCTCGAAGGATGTGAGTGTAATATGGCAAACTAAAGGGGAGGTCAGTGTAGGTTGACGAAACCTCAAGGGAGGTCAGTGTAATTATCCAATAATAATAAGTCACGCAAATTAATCGATGAAGCGAAAAAGGGAACATGATAATCGAGATTATATTATTAAGAAGTTTTTCACATGATCATTGCGTGTTCTGAGGGTTTTACGAGAATTCTAAGGAAGTTCCTCTCCATTTGTTACCATCTATTCTATCTCTGAAACAAGAGCAAATTAAGAATAAAGTATATTTATAACAAATTGCATATGACAACTCAAAATATATTCTCTGCTGGGACACCACAAGATAAGCAACCCACAAGTTAAATGCACTTCTTATCATATTGTTCTAGTAAGGTTCTAGTTTCTGCTAAATAAAGCTCGCGTCAAACACTAAATGAGTAGAACTTCTTGGAGCACTTTAACAACTAGGGATAGTTTCTTTTATTTGTCCTCTTTATTCCTCCCCTCCCCTTCTCTCTTCCTTTTCCCTCTCTTACTTACTCGTCATCTTTGGTAGCTTGTTTCCATGCAACTGTTGCACTTTCATTGTGCCCGTGCGGCTAAGAAATCCGCATTGCATCCTTCTTGCTTCGTTCCTTCTATCTCCCAAACCTTTCTTCAACTATTATTCCTCCCTTTTGTTACCCTTTTGCCACCTTCCCACCATAAATCTACATTTTCTATTTTCTCCCCAACAGGAAATCTTTCTAACGTTCCCAAAATACTTAGGCTGCACCAATTGGCAGTGTCACTCTGGACTCCAACTTTTTTTTTTGGATAAGTAAAAGTTCATTGAAAGGCACTTAAAAGGGGAGTGCATCCCAAAGAACAAAATATGGCTAAGAGAGCCCACTATACTTCCAAATATCCCCACAGATTTACAATTTGATCCTTGTACCCAGAAGTATAGAGAACCAAGGACAGAGAGCTTCAGCACTCAAATTGGAATCTCTTCCTCATCAAATGTCCACCTATCACGCTTTCTCCACGGACTCCTCCAAAGCCAAAGGGCGTCAACATCCAAGCAACAAGGACTTTTACCTACGAACTATTCAACCTCTCCAAGCCTTAAGCATGCTCTTCGTAGACTCCAACATATACCACTGAACACCAAACAAAGCAAAAACCATTGCCCAGCTATCCCTAGCCACTGGACAGTGCAAGAGAAGCTGGCTAACCAACTCCTCTCCTATCTTGCATATGCAATATCAATGACAATAATCTCCTCCTCAGTTTATCAATCGTCAAGATCCTCTTTAGTACTCCAAACTACCTTCCACAGAAAAAATGCCCATGAGCATCCACCAATCCCTGATAAAAGGATCACCCACAAACGTCCCATGACTAAAGTCCATGCAACACCAATCATCCCCCCACCCCCCAACCTCGTGCCGATACAGCAACGCCAAAAGCTCACAAACATCCACTTTAGACTCCATTTAAAGTCAAGTTTACTCTGTGGGCCACTATGCACTAATTTGAGCTAAATAATAAGAATTATCAACTTTAATACTAAGATTCCTAGCCTGTATTCCTTTACTTGCATTGCACTATATAAATGTTAAACAAAGACATTGAATGAATTCATATTGGACAAGATGTTAACTGCACAATTTACATCCATAAAAGTTCTCTCAAAAGAACATGTAAACCCCAATACAAAATGATGCAGTCCACAAGAGGATAAAGAAAGATAAAATTATGGGCAATAGGTTTTATCTCAAGGCACGACGCACTTGTGAGCTTGCATAAATAAGTTCAATTCTAGTAGGTATTAATTTATATCTTCCTTAGGCTAGTTTGTTGCCAGATCAGTTACATATATTGCATAAATAAGTTCAATATGCACGACACACTTAAAGACACATGGACAGACCTATGGATTAATTTTTTTAAAACAGACAGATTATAGGTTCTTTGTATATGGCTTTTAATAGGTTTATAAATGTCCATAAGTTTCCAAAAACAATCCAATTCCTATTAGAATAGGATTACCTAGCAGATTATATATATACATGTATCTCTGTCATGTCCCCTTAGAAGTTCATCAAGGCAACAAGATTTAACGATTTTCCCATCAATTATGCACATTGAGGATCATCTAATGCACCTTAGATGTGATACATAAGAGACTATGGGTGATTCCTAGCATCTTCTTTGCTTTCAACACTTCATTAGCCTTTAAATCTCACCAGGTAGACTAACAATCGTGTTTGACACTCTCACTCAATCCAAATAATGTACAATACTATAATATTCAATATAACTGTTTATATCATATTACATATAACATACATGTACATACAATACCAGAATTATTATATCATCACGAGGAAGAAGAAGAAAGGGGTAACTAAATATATGGGATGCAAAAGTATTTGGATGGCCCTTTGATCTCATGAATTCATATTCCGTCACAACATTATGGCATGTTTCTTAATTAAAAGGCTTTCTGCAAAGAACTGCTAGTCTTGAAGTGTCTTAGAATCTACCTTTAAATTTGATTAGATTACAAATAATTTAGAAGTATTTCGTTATTCTTTTAATGAAGCATGAAACAATTGATAACAAATAAAAGGTCGTGTTTCTACCTACTTTGTCCATCCTAGAACCCTGAACTAACAGGGACCCCAATAGGTAATGGCATTTATAAAATGAAGATGTCAAATTTTACAAATACAAGAAATAAATTTCATCCAACAAACACCGCTTTAAAGATCTGAGAACAATACCACATTCATTTTTCCTTGTGCCAAGGAGAAATCCCAAGCGATATATGAGTTTATAGAATCCACATTCAAAGAAACCTACAAAGACATGCATTTATTTAATGTCAAGAATTTGAAATCAACAGTAATACCATTGAGAAAATTTGTGAATACTAACTAGATAAAAAATAAAACTCAAAGGGGGAAACAGAAGTGATCTAAGTATGTTCTTAAAACCCAAACAAACAATTATACAGAGGATTCGATTTGTTGGGTCAATTCTATATAATTCAAATAATGAAAAGTGACTAAATTTCAAAACCCTTATTGCCAGGTTCAAAATAGGAATTAGTTGGGAATTGATGTATTTTTGACAAATTACATGCAAAGATAACTTAATTTTTGTGATGGGATTAGATTATTGCTTAATGTAAAAAAAATTCAAGGAATTGTTGAAGGAAGAGAGTTGAATCTGTAAGAAGTGGCAGCATTACATGAATAAAGCGTCAATTAGGTTATAAAGACTGAATCACCACATCAAGTTATTCCACATCAAAATTGTGATTGAAGACAGAAGACAGAACTGCTTTGCATCATCAACAAGATTCTTCAAGCCAACTTAATGACACAGTAGATAATGTTGAGTGACTTAGATACCTATAGTTTGGGTCAGTTAATGGCTAGATCAGTTGACCTAACACATACATATTACACCTTGGTTAATGGATGTACAGGTTTGGATTTGGTTTGGTAACTTTTAATTAAAATAGTGAGTGTACTGATCGAGATCTTAATTGCATAGACCCATTTATTAAGCACTTTGAACAGATCAATTCAATGATTAGATCGGTGAGAGTGCATAAGTGCACAGTAGTGTTGCATACCACCGAAATATGCCCATTTCACTTCCCATCCGGATCCAATGTGAGACATCCCTAGCATTCTCCCCCACTTGAACTCGCAACGCCTTTGTTGCGATCGGGTCACCCTACCTAGACCAGGGCACACCCAGGAGAGCGCTTGGCATGACTCTAGATCAAGGACTGGGCCTGATTCTGATACCACTATAACGGATCGGACGCTTGCCTTCTAACCCAAAAGCTTAGATAGTGTTGCATACCCACCAATATATACCCATTTCACTTCACATTCAAATCTAATGTGGGACACCTCTAATATTTTTCCCCACCCGAACTCGCAACACCCTCATTCCAATCAGGCCACCTTGCTTGGACCCGGGCACCTCCCGGGTGGGAACGCCCAGGTGGGCGCTTAGCTTGACACCGAATCAAGGACTAAATCTGACTCTGATACCATTTGTCACAACCCGCCCCGCACTGTGTAGATAATGTCTTCTTTGCATACTCTCCTATCAGTGCTCAAAGTTTTCCTCAAAACGCACAAGTTAGGTGGTGTCCACTTGTATAAGTCTCAACAACCTTCTCCCCCCCATACGATGTGGAAATCACAAGCTATGATGGTCATGGTGGTTGCTAAAATAACTTCTGTAGTAGTGACAAGAGTAGTGGTGGTTGTGGTAGTAATAATCAACTGAGCCAATAGAAAATGTGGTAGTGAAAGTCACAGTGGAGGGAATTACGGCTAATGCAGTAGTGACAGTCACAGTGGAGGGAATTACGGCTGATGCAGTAGTGACAGTCACTCTCCACATCATCAAAGGTGATACCAATGTAAATAGAGTGGTTATTGTTGCAGGAGAATTGTCATGGAGTATAGTAATGACGACACTGGTGGTGTCTTTTATCAAGAGTTCAAATAAATTAACTCTAGTGCTAGTGTTCCAAAGTCAAGCAAGTAAAGGTGTGACTTTTTAGGGTGGGTTTATAAGATGTATTAAATGAATTCAGTAGTTTAGCTCCTAATTTCCAAAACAAACAGACCAATTAGTTTAGATATTTCTGGAAATAACATCCATGAATTCATTTGAATAATGCCAAAAAATAAAAATAATAAAATAAAATAAAATAAAAAAGGAAAGGAAAAGAAAGGCCATCAACTTTCTCAAGCTCAAAGTTTCCTGGGAGATTACATTTTCTGATTATCTGTGAAGTGGGTGACTAGTTGAGTATACTCTTCATGTACCGTTTCAATGAAACTCAAAGACAATTAATTAATAGAAGGTTTATTTTTTTTTATAAGTAATTAATTAAGAGGAGGTTAATACCAACAGAAACACCTCAGGTAGCCTGTAAAATCTAACTACGGAAGAAAGAAATATATGTGACCCACCACCTCCAATTGTGAAAGAACCACTTGCATAATGTACAAAACAAACCTCACAAGTTTTCCCAGCAAGAACAGTTACTTCCTTGAAGTCATCATTTTTCCTGTGAAAAGCAAGCTAACAAACTTTGAATAGGATAACAATAACACCAGCTTTACTTATAAATACCATAAGATACTCCAAAGCCTCTTCAGTTCAGTAGAAAAACAGAGGAATGGCCACTACATTAGAAACTCAGACAATCACCTTGCTTCTATTGCACCGGCAGCTTCTGCTGTGATAAGGAAAGGGGAATTTGCAAAGACTTCACTGTAAAAACAGACAATCAAATCAATATGTGAGCAGCAAATACAAACCAAAGTGCAAATAGAAAGTTGGATGTTCAAGCCATTTAACATAGATGACTTTCATAATAGGCTTGTATTAATATTAGTTGCATGGTTAAACTTTGTAAAGAATGTAAATTGTCTGATGGTGACCTTCTCAGGACTAAACAGTGAGCATTTCAACATAATGGATATTTTAATTATGAATATAAATCAGATGGAGTCTCATTTAACAATAATTGAGGTTTCTTCTTGAAACATTATTCATAAGTGTGAATGGATGTTTTGAAGTTGTCAAGTTAAAAAAAAATTCACACTCTGAAAGCTCAAGCGAGCCTTGAATTTTCGGATGCTAAGGTTGATGGCGTGACAAAGTGGCATGTGAGCAAGGGGATTAGAGTACCAATACTTCTGTGAAGGTGTCATGTCCATATAGTACACGACTACACGTGTAGAACGCCTACAATTTATGGACTCTCCTAGACACAATTCCGACACTTATGGATGTGTCCATAATTTAGAAGTAAATTTCATTATTTGGACACTTGGCCAACACATCCCTGACACACCCCAATACCAGTCTTATACAATACAAACTAATTTGAGATACTTATTGAAGGTGATGTAAGCCGCATGGAAACTGAACCAAGGTCAGGATTGGATGTCCCTCCTGGTGACATCCTTAAATTAATCCCAACTCTAACAGGAACAAAGAGTAGCCATGTCCAACAAGTTCGGAAACATTATTAATTCACCTCAATGTGTACAACCTTTCTTCTTTAAAAGAAATTGGCATTATACACATGGTCACCACAAATCAAGCGTGCAATCAAACTTTTTCATATAGGACAAAATTATAATTGAAGTAAAGAAAGCGGTAGCATATATAATATAATAATCTTTACCTCTGTTACATGGACTCTTCAAAAGGACTTAAGTACCCATGTCGGACACATATCCCTCAGACATGGGTATGGGATATGTGTTCGACACTTTTGGTTGGACATGAACTTAAAAAGCATATCCAATCATTCAATTACATTACGTTATTACTTTAAAATGAGTTAAATGCTTATATTGAACATTATATTAGATAAAAACATTACTTTACTCTAGAAAATAAAATAAAATAAAATAATTAATAAAATGAATATTTAGTCGTGTCCGTTCTATTTGGAGATTTAACACGTCCGACGCATGAATACATACCCGTGTCCGACACCCGTACCCGAGTCCATGTAACATAGATCTTTACAATATTTCCCTTGCTTTTTTTTTTTTCTTTTTCTCTTTTTTGTTTTATTTTTTATGTAAGTAATATTTGATTGCTTCATCTTCTAGATTCTGTAACTTAGTCTACAAATTAAATTTTTGTGATGTTGTGGCCCGAATTTGGTGACGCGCCCGGTGGATGCTATGGGGGATCGGGGTCTTAGCCCCGAGGAAAATTTTTTGACCCTTTTTGCTAATGGGTCGTGGACCTTAATTAGTCTCTTGTAGCCCGATGTTTAGGGGCGCTTAGGGTCTGGAGTGACAAAGTTGGGGCTGAAAACTTATAATCTCCGATTTTACACACAGTGAAGACTTTTGCCGAATCTCCACCGTATACGTAGGTTGTTGCCAAACCACGTATAAATCTTTGTGTTCTTTGTGTGGTGTGTTTACTTTTCTGTCGTAATTCTTGATTCTATCTTGGATTTGCTGCATTTTTCGTAACAAAATTAATTACATTTCAATAGATGTATATAGGTGAAAATTTTATATTTCTATAGTCATGTCCGACTGTGCATATTCTACTTTTTTAGGGTTTGAAATGTCATCATATCTGTGTTCATGTAACTGCTACTACGATTAGATCCATATAAGGCAACAGTCGGGGCTTAATTAGTAGGATTTACTGGGAGTTTAGATACAGAAAGACCCTAATTTGTAGATCTTATGGGCTTAAGGAAATAACTTAGTTGTTTTGTGGATTTGAGAGAAAACATGTCAGAGCCTATGTGAGAAATATCATAAATCCTTGTAGTCATCACTTGGAAATTTTTACATTGGAATGCTGGTGTAAAAGTACAGTGCAAAGTGTCATATGTACGTCAAGCCTACATTTGGTGAGAGGGAAGGAAGAAATAGGGATGGAACAAGCTTTCACTGTTTAGTAGAGGGGAGAGGAAGAGGGGAAGGATGGGAGGAGGGATGCTACACCATTTTGTTTGCATCCCACAAGTGGGAGGAAGAGGAGAGAGAGAGAATGAAAATTTGTTGGATAAAATCTAAAAGACTTTGACTCCCATTTAAGTAAATTAATTTAAATAATTAAGGGTATACTAGTAAAAAATAATATCACATCTTCCCTTCCCTTCCACTCAACCAAACAAAAGGAGGGATGGCACAACCCCCCAACCCCTCCCCTCCTGAGAGATGCATCTTTCATCCTTCCTTCTATCCCTTCTCTCCATTTTTCCATCACTCCTACCAAAAGAAGCATAAGTTTCTCATATACTGGCCATTTTACTTTATTCGTTTCTCTAATTGTCTACAATTTTATTGATTTATTTTCTGCAAGGTTGTATCTGTTGGATTTTATTCACTATTTCTGGATAGATTTATGAGTTCCCCTTTTGAAGGCTTTCTAATACACTCTCACTAGTCAAAAAAAAAAAAAAAAAAAAATCACTATTTCTGATATTTTCTTAGACAAAAAAGATTCAAGGGATGAATAAGAAGAAACTTAATGGATCTCTAAATTTAGAACTTCGGAATGAATTAAGGGGGAAAAAAGAAACAAGGGATGAAATAAGAATAAGCTTATGGATCTCTAAATTTAGAACTTGTTTTGGAACGTGCATATAAAAACAGAAATCACTACGAGTTTAATGATTAAATAATAAGCAACGCATCCTCATCACTAAAAATGGTACAAATGAGTAAAACACAAGCTACAGGAGCAGGAAGCAGAAAAACTACCCAATAAATTTCACAAATCTTTCAAACTCGGAGGTGTAGATATTAACCGCTTCTTCCAAGATAGCTATTTGACCCTTCTGTCTGCTCCATAATAAGTGGCCAGAGATTTAAGGCAAAAAGAGCAACCATATCAATGGGACAAAGCTAAAAATAATAATAAATTCTATTAGAACTCAATGAATCGACTAAGAAGCTTGCAATGTATCTTACAATTTTCTAGCCTCAAACTGCCCCCATGACACAGAGAGAAAAAGTCGAATGTTGAGCACCATTGTTGTAAGCCTATATAAAGGTGGGCCATAACGATGTCTTTGCTCTTCCATTGGGCTAGGTACAAAAGAATTATTAGTAAAAAATTGCCATAGATAAACCATTTGAAATGAAACCTCCTCAAAGTTCAATTTTGTCCTTCACTGAAGGGGAGAAGTAACAAAGAATCTATTTAAATATAATAAACAATAAATACTATTTCTAAAGAAGAAAGAAGATACCCTTGATCATCATTTATTTGCCGAATAAAATCTAGTAGAACCTGCAGCAAATAGAAGTATGACAAAATAAACCTAAACATCAACACTTCTTGCAATAGAGTCTATCTAAAATGCATAACAACTTAACAAATTCATCTAGAACATATCATTACTGACCCTTAGTAACCTCATATAAAAAGAACTACATGACATAAGGTAACATAAGAGTATATCAAAGATAGCTGCAGAATTAAAAACATATGGTTATTCTCGCCCATGAAACACTGATCAAACTACCAAAGAACAGTTGGCCAAGCTGAAACCTTTTTCCTTTTTTTTTTTTTTTTTTCTTTTTTTTTTTTTTTTGTCTTTTTTTTTCCTTCTTTTTTTTTTTTTTTTGTCAGTACAATATCCAGAAATGGGGACTCAACCAAGTTCCATGTGGTGGGGGTATACTAGACACAAAATCAACAACAAAATCTCATGTCCCAAAACTGTACTAAAAGACTGTATAACATGAAGTAACATCAAAGATAGCTGCAGAACTACAAGCATATGGCATTTTTGCTCTCTCTTGAAACACTGACCACACTACCAAGTAACAATAAACCATGCCCACACTTTTTTCTCAAGTACAATATCACTAAAAACAATCACGCAACCTGAGTGCATGAAGGGTATACAACCAGACGACAAAAAAACAACAGCAAAATATCATCTCTCAATCCTCTACAAAAGAATCAATATAGAAATCATAAGACTACAAACAAAACTATAGCGTTTTCTCAAGTATCTTTCCAATCTACACATCCAATCAAGGAGAAGAGAAGGCCCCATCACTCCAATGCCACGAAATAGATATAAGGTAAGAAGTCCCCCTACCTTTCATAATATTTTTCCATTGAGCTACCTGATAAGATGAGTCCACCTCTCTTAATACCCAACCACGCTAGAACTATAGTACTTGTTACTTATAAAAAAAAAAACCTATAGTACTTATGATCTACCATTCTTTGCCACTTAGATCCCTTTCCCCTAGCATATTTCCACCAACAATTGCCAAGAAGAGCCTAATCAAACACCCTAAGCTCCTTCTTTCCTCCCTTAACATGAAGGAAACCACCAAACGCACTACTGAATAGATTCCACCCAAGCACCGCTCTAAAGAAAATCTATTAGGCTCCCTGGCATGTTTCCACCAACAATTGCCAAAAAGAGCTTAATTAAACATCCTTAGCTCCTTCTTTCCTCCCTTGATGTGAAGGAAACCACTCACCGCACTACTGAATTATAGATTCTTCCCCAATGCATCTCTAAAATATACAAAGCTTATCCAACTTCATCTCTAAAGACACTGCAATGGTGAACAATGTCATGAAATTTATTAGAAGGCTTGATAATATTATTTGCATAAGGATAATTCTTCTCCCCTCGAAAGATCCAAAAACATTGGATGATATAGACATGTAACCACAATGCTCTTGACTTGAATTAAAAAAAAAAAAAAAAAATGAAGAAAAGCAAAAGAAGATAATGAATGCCAACCAGTCATCCAGGATGGAAGGGACTGCAGTATCGCAAATAGAGAGACATACAAAATAGAAGTCTAAAGCAGTAAATTTAAGTATCAAGGACTGGAAGCACAAGCCCAAGCAACACATGTACCAGTACACTCAATCAAGATAAAGAAGGCATACCTGTGGCACTCCAACCAAGTACTTCACAAGGGTTTTGTAGACACCTGTTGCAGAACCAAGCTGGGCTAACATTCTCCTCCTGGATGAGTAATATGTCATCAGCAAGCATATAATAAGATCATTCAAAGGCTGTCAAAATGCACCAATTAACTTTACCTTTCCATTTGTTGTTTCCATAGCAAAGCATATCGATCCTGTATACTTCCACCAGAGTTGACCAAAGCATCAATCTCAGCTTGCTTATTCCGCTCTGACCGCTCTTTTTGTTGTCTGATAAGGGTACCACGAAAATCTTGTGGCATGTAGGTCATAACTGCATAAATATTCATAGATACCCTAAAAGTTGTCAAGAACATAACAGAGCAGCAGACTGAGGCCATCATCTCAAAACAAATTAATGGTAAAATGATAAAATCTATATTTCCAGTCAGTATTAGTTAATACACTGTATATTATAGCAACACAAAAGTGTAAGCTTAATCATCTAAGGTTGATTAAGTGTAACTTTTAATTTGAATATGATCTCTTCATATGACAATAGATACAAAGAAAATTGACTTGCATCCAGAATATCATTTTATTGTCTTGTACAAAGTCCACGCATCCAATGTGTGTATGAGAACAGCATAAAAACATTTTTCCAGTAAAGGTAACAAACATCCTAAACTCTTTTTCCTCTATTTGTGATACTCTAATCCAAAATACACATGATAAACAGACCAACAGGATTTTCTGCAAACTTGACAAATGTTTCTGAAGCACAAGTTATCTATAGACTAGAAAAGATTTCATGCAAACTTGATGCATCGCTTCTGAATCACTATAGAATAAAAACATTATAAAATTCCTAAACCTCCATTCTATATGTAAATACAACAAACTATTCAAGGCCAGCTACATGAATCATACTTTGGCTAATACCTTAGTTCCAGTCAAACAACTCTATCATGTTTTTTCCTAAAATATCTCTCTCACGCTATTTTTTGGTCTTTCCCTTGCCCTATCATTACCATTAGTCTAGATCATATCACTTCCTCACTAAAACTGGTAAAGTTACAAGTTGCCACTGTACGTGGTCAAACCAGCTATGGTTTAATCCCATTTTAACTCCAATTGGTATTATTTCTGCAATTCCATGTTGCATGTTTTTCCTACCTGTCTCAACCCAAATTATTAGTCTTCCTTCTCAACCATTAATGTGGACCATGTAATTCTTTCCCAGTCCTAACTATGTTTCACGCACGTGTGCACTTCTAATTATGTTCTTAAGTGCTCTAAATTGTATTAGATTGAAAGGATCTACACTGTAGATCACCACACAGGAGTGTATCACCCAACAAAAAACACTACACACACACACACAAATTGATGAATAATTGCAATTACAAGTTTAGAGTAATTTTGTTCACAATTACCTAATACGCTGGCAAAGGCTTAAAATTGGTCGTAGATTTACGGTCTGTGAAGACAAAAGGGACGTATGATAGTTTGTAAGTTCTGCATCTTGTGAATCAGAAAATATGAGGTTCGATGTCACAAAATACAGTTCTTTTAGAAAATAACTTGGGTAATTTCTAAAGACTAAACAGCAACAGGGAGAAGTAGAAGATAAGAAAAAATAAGTCCGCAAACACAAGACGGCGTGGTAACCATATAGGGTCAAATTTCTAAAAATAAAAATATATAGATGGGATTCTTAGCAACCCAAGAGAACTCTCATAATTGGACTAAGAACTCGAGAAATATAAAAACTTTTAGAGAATAGCAAAACAAAAAAATATAATTTCTCAATAAAATATCCAACAGAGGCGACTTTCTAAATTGTAATAGGATTAACATTTTCTTAACAAGAATAAGAAATAACAAATGTTAGAATCAATCAACTACTAAGTTACTAACAAGGATACCAGAAAATACTGATAAAATTTGCCAAACTACCCCCTCAAATATTGGTATCCATTCAAGTATAGAATTATCCCAAACGAAACCAATCTGCCCTATCCTTGTAAATATACTCTGTTAGGACTTAGAGTCATTGTGTTGGCAATTTTCGTTTCTACCAGCATCATAAAATTTACATATATATAAATAAATAATATTCCTATTCTTTTGTATACTTACAGTTATTACCGTCAATTCTTTGATTATCATAAGAGTGCATAGAGATGGTAATGTGATATGAAATCAAGAGTTTTTGTTCAACTTGGATCACACATGTTAAGAAAATAAGTTTGACTGACAAACCTTGGGATTAAAATGCATAAATTAACTAGGTTGACACTAATGGACTTGGATAACAAAACAAGGAGAAGTATTGCATAATTGTTCAATGGGCTAATAGTTGCAAATTGAACTCTTATGCATCATAAACAGAAGGATGAGATCTCCAAGAAGTTTCTAAGCATAGGTAAGAACCAACCTGTGTTAAATATATACTCTGAATTCCTAGATTGGAAAGACTCCAAAACCTTTAGAGTTTTCTGAAGTTTTTCTTTTAGCCGCCCGAGCGTAGAAGCAAGTTCAGCATCATTGGACGACTGTTGTTGCAGCTGCATTCACAAGACAAATGCAAAACTTAATGTTCTCAAAATGGCATGATTCGAAAGCGCTTCAATTTAATTTGCAACTAACATCATCAAAATCATTACCAAAGGTAACTGATGGAACAATTAAAAAATGTGAATATGTCGTGCCACAACTTCTACAATAAAAAATTTAAAAATAAAAAATAAAAAAAATTGTAACAAAATATTATAATTTTTTGGGGGGTATTAATGAAAAACATAGGCCTCTATATTTCTTACCTCTTTTGGCCAATGAGAGCTTTCCAGTAACAACAGAATTTCTTCAATTTGTTCTCTGTTCTTCCACATGTTCTCATCAATTTTATGAGGAGGCTGGCATTCCGCTTCCTGTACAAGTTGTCTTTCTCCTAGAATAAAATTGATTCCAAATTTAAAGTTGTCAAGTATAAGAATTCATTGGAAAAATTGCTTACCAAAATTAATGGTAGCTAAAAGCGTTGTGATGATGCTTTCCAGTCAAATTATGATAGTGGCTATTTTGGTGCAGTTTATAGTGATAATGTTGGGGGGACATTACTTGGTGCAACAGTAAAAACTTGTGCTATAATGTGTGAGAACATGAGTTTGAATTTGAGGGCAGCCAGCATATGCAAAAAACACTAGAGGAAATGTCATACCCAATACAATTCTAAGCTTGACGAAACCATTAATGGGTTCTGGCCTTCCCAATGATGAAAAAGTAGAAGTGCATAAAAATATGAGCATCCCCCAGTGTATGTCTCATCTAAGTGCTGGAAGGAGAAAACTAAAGACAGACTTAACCTTTGCAATATCATTACCAAAGTGGCTATTCTCATACTCGAACCAGTGACATTGCACTTATCAGTCCGAAGTATTATCACATAAAAGGAATGATAACCAAATAAAATATTGGCCGTGCATTTCAGTTTGCATCATAAAGTGTTGCTCTACAAAATGCATCCTAACAAAACCCCAATCAAGATGATGTTTATAACTTTATGTAGTCAAAAGTTTGGCAAGTGTGTGATTTTGTAACCTACTCACTATCTCAACCAACTAGACCTTTCTCTAAATCATAAAAATTACCATATGGACTAATGTACGATTCCTAGGAATGGGTGTGTGTCTAAGTATTGGATTCTTATAATCCCTAAGATTTAGGATACGACACAGACAAACTAAGTGTGAGTACAATATGAAAGATAATGAAAAAAAATGGAAGGATAAAAATCATATATATATATATATATATATATATATATATATATATATATATATCTGAAATGTGGGAAATTGAAAGAAGAAATATAATTAGTGAGCCAATTTGAAATAACAAGAATGTAAGGGTAAAATTACAAATATAATTATTTAAATGATGAGTCCAAATAACATAGCATAAAGCCAACTAAAATAATGATTTCTAAATCTCCTCATGCCATAGCTTCTTAAAGCAGTAGTAAATAAGTAGATTAACAATTTCTGCCTCATCAATGGCTAGAGCTTGTTGGGATTTGATGCTTGGTTTGTTTGGGGTTCCTTGGGTTATGCCTTGTTCCTCTAGAGGATTGATTGAAGCTTGGAGAAGTTTCTCAGTTGGGGCTCTCATTCAGGATGCTTGGAGGGCTACGCCTTTCTGTATTTAGTGGTGCATTTGGCTCGAGAGAAATAGGAGATATTTTGATGGAAAGGAGAAGCCTATTTCTATGCTTAAGTTCTCCATTATTTCCACTCTTTTTTGTTGGGTTTCAGGGAGAGATTATAGATCTATTGAGGAGATTGTTTTCTTTTTAGCCTCTTTGAAGGCTTGAGGCGTTTTTTGGCCTTTTTGTATCTTTGGGATTCGCTCCCCTTTTGAGCGCTTTTTATTAATTTTACTTATCAAAAAATAATAATAATAATTATTATTATTATATAAAGAATTAAAAAATGAATGTTTCAACTATTACCCATACTTAATCAGTACTATTGAACCAAGTTATTCAAACAGTCATATTGTGGTTGTCATATACATGATCAATTTTTTACTGCTAAAATGAAAAACAATGCTTTAAAATAGAGTAGATAGTGTAAAAATTCTGCTTCATCATTTACTTAAACTGAATAAAGAATAGAAATACACATTTTTCAACTGTTATCCATACTTCATTAGCACTTTGGACATAAGTTACTCAAACATGTTAAGTCATACAAAGAGGGCCATCGTATATGTGCTCAATTTTTATATTGCTAAAATGTAGAGCAATGCTTTAAAAAGTTTTTATGAAGAGAAATAGATTAAGATCATGAGTCATGATGTGATGTTTCTCATTTGATCATTTCACATTGACATGGTGCCTTGCACTACAACTCACATCATTTTACAGCCTCCCAAAACCATTAAACAAAATTTGCAACAAAAATGAACAGTGTCAAAAGAGCTCCTTGTTAAAAAGAACTGTATTTTACATGTTCTACTAACCATAATGCACCATCACTGCTACTTGTGATTTAAGATCCAAGTTTTTCACATTCCCACCACTAAGTTGTTCTCATGCATTTATTTAGGACTTAATTTAGCTTTATTAAGGAGATATTTGCAGCTCGTTGTTTGGCCCTGCATTTCCAGCCCAAACTTTTAAATTTTCTTTTTTCTGATATGTTGACACACGCCCATTTGCCCTATTGGAGAGTCAAACCCTCAACCTTTCATTTAGGAGGAGAAGATACCACTTGGGTCAAGCCGTTGGTTCCTCTAGCCCAGACTTGCCACAACTTGATGATAGATGACAACCAAAGGTGACACAATAATCACTATAAAGTTGGAATTTTTTTGAGATATATTGCCAATACAATAACCTCATGCAGTCCTTCACAACAATTCCAACAAATTTGGAAATATCATTTGGACCCATGTCATTTGACTAAAAATGTGTATAAGATCAACATTTGAAATCTAGCTGTAAACAGGAGTATTCCAGTATAAGTTCTTACCATATTATGTTCTCAGTATACTACCCTTCTTCCCACCCACAAGAAAAGGTTGGGACAATAAGGAAACCGTGATGGGTCAACCTTTGAGCAGCACTCCATCATGACCGTGACCAATAAACAAACCATCCTCGTTAAAAACACCCCCCAGACTCCCTCCTAGCCCCATTCCTAACTAAACAGTGGAAGGAAATAAAAACAAAATTTGAGCACCATGGGGTTGATTCTGCTGAAGAACAGTAGGGTAAGGTTGATTTATAAGCTAAAGATACAACAATTTCTATTTATTTTTCTGTTGCAATAACTAATAAGATGGAGATGAGTCGGAGAGTTTCTATAGTCAAATTCTAGGGGATGGTTCTAAGGATCATGTATTTAATTAGGAGTTAGAAAGCTGCCCCAAAATAGAAGGTGGATTAGGATTGGGTAATGCGGTCCCTAGAAAGTAGAAACAAACTGTCTACAAAGAGGAAAACTGTCTACAAAAATTGATGATCAAATCTGGCAATAATCTTGCTTCCAGCCAAAATCATCGCTGTCCTTGAAAGGCCGTTTCTCAGCAAAACCCACACTTCTTGTTCACGTACTAAATACGTCAGAAGGGTCTAGAATCAGTTTCCAGGAGGATTTATGTTCAGTAGGAAACACTTTTACAAACCCTTCTCCCCATCATTACAAAGTTTCTCATACTCATGGGTTCACACCATTGAACTTGTAATTCATTATCTATGTATAAGTCCTGCTGTATACCCCTTCTTAGAATTTACATTAACTTTTCAGGAATTAGATTAAAATCGAAGAAATGCTATTTCAACTTCTTCATAAACCTCAATGATATTCACTAGACTTTGGTTAATAGCAGTTTCTTCCCCAATATATATGTGTATACATATACACACTTTAAATTCTTTGTTAAACGGAATTATTCCATTTCTTTCCACACAAATAAATTGATCTGAAGATTTAAGCTTTCTCAACCAAGATTTGTATCTTCTTTGCGAGAAGCAGCAGTAAAGACCTCTAGCCATCTCTACACATACTTATTACATACAAATTATATATATATATATATATACGGATCGAGAAAAGAAAATTTCACCTTCAGTAACAGAAAAATCCTTGTACAAATCGGCGGCCATGGAGCGAATCTCGGACGAAAGACGACAGAAGTCGTCGGAGAGAGGAACAAATGGGTATTTGTCATAATAAGAACAAAGAAATGCCCTTGTTATGGGCACCAAACCTTCCGTCGAAGCCATTGACGATACCAGAGAGAGATTGATCGAAACTGTTCCAAGTTTGCTTGTTCGATCGATAATCAGTATCTATCTCACCTTCATTCGTCGGATTGTTTCGATTAACAGATAGATTAGTAAATTTTTCTTTTTAAAAATTATATAAAATAAAATATAAACAGCTGAGAAAAATGGATCGAAGAGGAAAGCGAGTCCACGCCAACCTCCCCTTCAAATCTTCAATGCACTCTTGCCTCTGACCTGTCGCTTGTCGCGGAAATATCCAAGAAAATGTCGAAAACCGCGTAGAATAATTTTGGGCTACTTTTTTTACAACTTCACCTGAGTTTTTATTTTAAAGTAACATTTTGCTGATTATTACTATATAATACTAGATGAAACGTGTTGTTTGCGGGAGATGTTTTCTACACTCCCCTTTCTTATAATGGATTTCTTTTTCCTTCTAATTTTTCTGGACATCTAGGACTGAGAGAGTAGAGAAAAGTGTAAATGAAAAAGTGGAGTAAAAAAAAAAAAAAAATTAATCAAGTTTTATTAAAAACATCAAAAAGATCTTCTTGGTGTTTGATAAATTTATTTTGTGTTTAATTCTAAATAAATTAGGTAATATATACGGACCTTCCTTATTTCGTCATAAGTACATTGATGTTTCTTAAAAATAAAACTAATATACGTGGACTTCCCTTTTTTGTGTCGAACCGCACAAACGAATTTATTTAATTTACTTAAATACTTTTATATTGTTACAGTAAATTACAAAAGTACCCATCTATAATATATATTATATACCTAAATTATAATGATTAATTTCTTGATAAAGGATATACCTTCCGGTTTTTCAATTGTGTCTTACAAGTCTTGACGATGGTATTGATGATTGTGGCATTAACTGTTTTTTGAGGATCCTGATGATGGTATTGATTGTAAATGGCACAGCTTTTATTTATTTTTTTATGTTTTTTTGGTGAAGGTATTGATGATGGTGGCCTTTAAATGGAGGAGCTGAAGAATGGTGTTGTTTCATCGCCGAAAAATATGCCAGGGAAAATGGGTTGCAAGTCCGCGATCAAGGGCTTGTTTGTTATATGTTTTACTTTGTTGTTTTTGTTGCAAGGCTGAAATATAGCTCCATTTGTCTTCTGTTGAACAACACTAAATTCAGACAAGTCCAAAAACATGTTTTGTAGCATTTGTTTTGTTTTAAATAGTACTAAAATATTGTTTTAAACAGTAATAAATTTGGGCCCAAAAGTAAAACATTAAAATGGTGTTTTTTTTTTGTTGTTTCAATACTTTAATCCAATAAAAAACATTGTAGCAGGAGAAGTAAGTTGAGTCTAACACTGTAGCAGAGGAAGTAACTTACACTATAGTTTGCAACATTTGGCCCGATGTTTTCTCTCTCCTCTGAAACCCTAGATAAGGTGATTTGGGAGGCGACTGTGATATACGGTGAGTACTCTCTGTCTTCTATTTCTCTCCTTTGGTGTTGCTTTACTTCCGAAAAACCTCTTTCTTCTTTCTCTGATTCCGGTTGGTTCATCTTCCCTTTCCTTTTCTCTCTCTAAATCTTTTCACGTTCCTACTCTTCGATAAGCATAGGGTTTTGAAATATACAAATTCCTCCTCATTCTATTGTGATCAGCGAAGGAGCTGCCTAAGCCTACCACGAATTGGTCGATGCTTTGAAACGTCACTGGTTAGCGTTCTTACTACTAATTTCTTAATTTATCTTCTTCTTCTGCTTCTTTTTATTTATTTATTTTTTTGTAAGTTACATGATTACACACTTAGGTCACACAATTTGTATCTTCAAACAACTTTTCTAGTTTTTAATTAAATTATTGGTTTTTATTTATTTTTATTAAAGTAATACAATGGATTCTGCTATTATGAGCTTTGATGGCAAGAAAGGCAATACAGTGGGCTGTTCAATTGCAGCTCCACACGAGTAATTGAAGGGGATTGTGTTTCTTTTTCTGATTTTTCTTCTTGCCTTGAGTCTATTGCTGTGATTGAAGGGGATATTAGATTCATCATAGATTAACATCCTCAACTCATCTAGTGTAAAATTGGTGAGGCGTGAGACCAATAAAGTTGCTAATTTTTTGGGCCATATGTTTCCAACTGATGTGTTAAAAATTGCAGCTTCTGATTGTATCTTTGTTTGAACATAACAATGAATGTTGTTTTGCTTTGGAAAAAGAAAAATTAAAAATTAAAAATTAAGAATATGTATGTATGTATGTATATTTATATATGAAAATTATATTTGTTACTTATTTACTGAAAAAAGAAAAAAATCTATTTGTTTCAAACAAAATGCATGAAATAGAAAGTTGAGAGATATTCATCATACCTTGATTGACCATTTATGCAACCTTCATTTCCTTAGAAGAAATAAAGGCAGGGTTTCTTAGTGAAGAAAAATTCCTAAAACTGATTTAATCTGGAAAGCAGGGAAAAATTGAAGCAAGTCTGATTAATGCTTTACCTGCTTTTAACTTCATAATAAAATGGCAGAGGCTGTTCATTTTTTTAGAAACAATACTTGAGCTGCTTTTAAAACATCACGAGACAGTTTAGTCCATATCTAGTCTGGGTGTGTTAGAGAATAGAGGAAGAACCAATTTGTAGTATGAGAGGACTCTGATGAATGGACCTTCTGTGTAGTATTTATCATGCCATGCCCACTGTAAATCTCATGGTTATTGAGATTTTTGCATAATTGGTCGTAAAAGGAGAGAGTAAATACATATTTGTATAAATGACTGTTGTGAACTTTGTTTTTTTTTTTTCAAACTTTTCTTTTTCCTCTCTCCAATTTGGCTTGGTTGTTTAATTTCATAGTCTGGCTTATCCTTTTAAATTTCTTCTTTATGTGTATGCATTACATGTATATTGTGCCCCCTGGGTTCTTCTTTTTTTCTTTTTTTTTGGATTATTTATGTACAAAAACAACGGTCTTAAGATACCAATTTAATATGTAAATGGAGTGGAAAAATCAGAACTTTCATTTAGGAAGATGCCCCATTTTGGTTAGGGCATTACAACATTTACATACATATAGCACAAGTTTGAAATGCTACGCTAATCTTGTTATAAATTTGTTTTGGAACTTTTTTTTGTATACTTTGGTAGATGGCTGGACTACCAGGTTGCAGATTAGATATTTGTTGATGGCTCGATGCCTCAGTCGACTTCCTGTTATGAATCGTTATAATTTCGCTTTTAGTCTAATTCCGCATCCCAATTTTTTTTTTTATTAGTCTAATTCCGCATCCTTAAAATACATCTAAGAAGAATCTAGTTATATATTGTAGAGTCAGACTCTAATAGTTCCTTCCAATTCTTCTTTCTTAGTTGTACTCCCAGTTAAGTTAATTTGCCGATCCCCCCACCCCCCTCTCTAGACAATTTATGGCTGGTCAATTTAATTGGATTACAATAATGTTTGCCCTGGTCTTGAAATGTCCGTGCACAAACTGGGGCTTCAAATACAGCAGTTCAATATTAAATCATGAGTGCTTGGTTTTTACTCACTTTGTTATATTTACTCACATATATTAAAACAATGTATGTGGAGCCCGCTGCCTACTCTTGTGTGTCTTTTCTTAGAGTTTGATTCGTTTTGCTATTGCATTTCCAGTTTAATATTATTTTTTTTGTTATTAATTATAGTGTTGTTATTAATATGTTAGATGGATATGAATGTGGAACAATGCGGTGATAATCTCACAATTGAAGAAGCGGTTGAAGTTACGAATGATGGAAAATTGTTATGGGATGAGTCACTCAGCGAAAAATTCGTTAATATTATGGTGGAATAAGTTAAGGCTAATAATCGTAGTGGCACAACATTTAGTAAAAGTGGTTGGAATAATTTGGTCAAAGAAATGAATGTTCAAACAGGGAGAAAATTTTCTTTAACCCAACTTCGGAATAAGTTTAATGGTTTGAGGAAAATTATATCGAGTTTAAGAAATTATTATCGGAGACTGGCGTGGGATATAACCATGAGATGGGCATGGTTATAGTTGAGGAAGAGAGATGGAACAGATTGTGTAAGGTTAGTAATTTAATTATTAGTCCTAAATAAATAATAAAATCTTGTATATTATTGGTTATGTGGTTAATATTGTAACAAAATTTGTAGGTTGTTGCGAATGCAAATAAGTTTAAAAGGCATGGATGTGAGCATTTTGACAAGATGTCGACTATATTTGGGGACACATATGCAACAGGGATGCATGCCCACCCATCCACTACAGCACCCCCCACAATCATTTTGCCCACTCCCAATGATGACGATGATGAGGAAGAGGGTTGTGAGGTCAGTCCCCCACCTTTACGTAAAGGTAAGAAAGCCAAAAAAGATGTTTTATCTCCTAGTATAGCTGCACTCTTGTGAAATATGAATGAGAATTCTGAGAGGAGAGCCGAGAGAATGGAAGCTGCAATAGAGAAAGCAGTTAAAGCATTTTCTACTTCTACTCGTGTATCTTCATGTAAGAAAGGAAATGATGAAGTTCTCTCTCCCTCTAAAAATGATAGAGATTATGAAATGTTTGACGCCTCCATGCTCCTTTTACAAAAAATACCTGGAATTGAGATGGCCCAATTCGCTAAGGTATCAAAGTTATTACATGATTCTGAGAAGTGGCAGAAATTTTTTTTTTCGGCACTTGAGGATGTAAGAATTGGTTGGGCACTGAATTTTTGAGTTTTTCTTTATGGATTATTGCGTTTTGTGTCATCGTTTAAATTATTACTATCTCACATTTGGATGACTGTAATAACTTAAGTACTTTTATTATCTCACATTTGGATTACTGTAATAACTTAAATACTTTTATTTCTTGGATGCCTGTTACTACTCAAATACTTTAATATCATTATTTAAATGTTTGTTTTTATTATTTAAATGTTTTGTTTATTATTGAATTGATTTACTTATTTATTTAAATGTTTTGCTTGTATTAACTCTTTAAATAGGGCAATGGATATGTGGAACAATATAAGAAGAAGAATTCAATTATATGATAATGAGGATGACAATGAGAGTGTCTTAATATTTGCTGCTATTTTAGAAGAGCATAACTTCTATCAAAAGAGCCGTTGTAGGAATTCAATTTTACAAGGGGAAGCATATGTCATGGAGATTCTAAACGGCCATAGAGAAAAATGTTATGAAAATTTTAGGATGTACCCTAAAGTTTTTAGAACATTGACTAGTACCCTGAAAGGTATAGGGCTGAAGGATTCTAAATTTTTAGCTGTATATGAACAAGTGGCAATCTTTTTGCTCATTTTATCTCATAATCAAAGGAATCGTGTTGTAGCAGAGAGATTTCAACACTCCACTGAAACCATTTCCAGACACTTCCATGCTGTGTTGCATGCAATATGTCAGTTGGGCACCCATATCATTGCCCCTCCTGATTTTTCTGTGATTCCGAATAAGATCAGAGAGTCTCCTAGGTTTTATCCTTACTTCAAGCATTGCGTGGGAGTTATAGATGGAACCCACATTCCTGCAACTCTGCCAGTAGCTACACAACTTTCATTTCGTGGTAGAAAGGGCTATACCACACAAAATGTAATGGCTGTATGTGACTTTGACATGAGATTCACATATGTGCTAGTTGGGTGGGAAGGCTCTACTAATGATTCGAGAATTCTAAAAGAGTGTATTGAGAACGAGGCAATGAATTTTCCAGCTCCACCACCAGGTATTATAATCTTACAATTTCACTTAATGTATGGTTAGTTTATCATAGTGTATATATCTTTACGTATTCTAAACATTGCAAGTAAGTATTATTTGGTGGACTTAGGGTATGCCAATAAGCTTGGTTATTTGGCCCCATTTCGAGGTCAGACTTACCACTTTCAGGAATACCGTAGGAGTAGACCACCCCGTGGTCGGGAGGAAGTGTTCAATCATAGGCATTCATCTTTGAGAAATATAATTGAGCGATGCTTTGGGTTGTTGAAGATAAGATTCGCTATTTTAAAGGCAATGCCTCCTTATAAGTTTTCAACACAAGTATTGATTATAATGGCTTGTTACACATTACACAACTTCATTAGAAATTAATATCAGCCCGATGATTTATTTGATGGTGACGATCCTCCTCAAAGTGATGGTGAAGACGATGAGATTGTTGAGCATGTGCTTCCGGCTCAGCTTCGAGAAATGGATCAGTTGCGTAATACTATTACTGATCAAATCTGGAATTCTCTTGGGTACTCTTGATCTTCCTGAAACTGATGGTATGTTTTTTCTTTTATATGTAATATATTTGTTGCTATTGTGGGCTTGTAATATGTATATATGTATTATATATCATTTTTGTTATTATTATTTTGCTTTTATTATTACTGGCTGATATTATTGTTAATATTTTTCAAATTAAATTCTACCATTACAGATATAAAGTGTGTTGATACTCTCTTGAAGGTGATGTGTGCTGTTATGAAGATGACGTGTCCTACTATTGAAACTTGTTCCATGGAAGTGAAATTTGTGTTTTTTTAAGTATGTCTCCTGTAAGATCTTTTGAGTTTTTCTGATACCTTCTTAACAGTGAAGGAAAACACAAGGAAACATCTTTTTATTTGTTAAGCATCTTTTTCTTTGTTTTTGAATCCTATTTTTGAAATTTGTAAATGAATTGTGTTTGAACTTTGAATTATATCTTCTATTTAATTTAATCTACTGTTTAATTTGTTCTCAATTTCTTTGTCAATTTTCCTAATACAGAAGAATGAGTATGATTTGAAAAGCTTCCTTGCAAGCTTCCATTCTAGCAGGGTGTTTTTTTTATTTTATTTTATTTTATTTTATGTTATGACTCATTCATAGATGTTTTGTGAAGTTTGACTCCAAATAGATGGATTAGAAATGGAAAAGGTGATCTTAATATCTAGATCATAAGAACACTGTAAAAAGATGGAACTCTACATGTCAAATTATATATATATATATATATATATATATATATATATATATATATATATATATATATATATATGTTTGTGTGTTCAATTTTCAATATATTTAATAAAATATAAATATACTATTTATATAGAAATAAATTTATAAACATATTTAAAAATTATAAAAATAAATTAAAAAGAATGATAACCAAACATGTTTTTTGTTTCTGTTTTTTTTTTTTTTTTTTTTTTACAACAGTTGAAATTACCAAACATGTTTTGTTTTTAAAATTTTTGAAACGCATGGCTTACCAAACATGTTTTTCATGTTTCTGTTTCTGACATTTTCAAAACAAAACATCGTTCCCAAACATACTTCCGATTTTTGTCAAAACACTCCAATACTAAAAACGTTGTTTCTGTTTTAGCCAAAAACAAAACGCCTAAAGTAAAACGCATGCCAAACGGGCCCTAAAATTAAGCTTTTTTGAGAAAAAATTAGAAGGATTAATTTCTTGATAAAAAGTATAGCTTCTGGTTTTCGAATTAGGTCTTGCAAGTCTTGACGATGGTATTGATGATTGTATCACCGCCACACCACCTCCTGGACTTGGAATGTCTTCTCATTTCTTTAATTTTTCTTATTTCATTTAAAATTAATCTCATTTTATTCTAGATCAAACCCATCACAAGAAATTTAAACTAAACAATTTCCTTAAGGCCTCGTTTGGATTGAGGGATTTAGAGGGATTCGGAGATAAAAGAAAGGAAATGATAGTGTTAAATGTGTTTGGATGGAGGAAATAGAAGAGAAAATAAATGATTGGGAAGGATTTGGAGGGATAGCCTATCCTTCTAAATCCCTCCACTACACTAAAACTAAATCCTTCCAATTTTGAGAAGATTTTAGGGGAAAGGAAACAATTTAAGTGTAATTTTCATTAAAGACAAAATTAGCTTTCCAAATTTTATACACAAAATTTATATTACATTCAAGTCGTAGGTCAATAATATTAGGGCGCAGCTTCTCCATCTCCTTTTCTCTCGCATCTGCAAATCAGAATCACCGCTTCTCTATCTCCTCTTCTATCGCGTCTCCAGCTTCGGCTCTTCTCCAGCTCCGACATTTAGGTCAGAGTTTTGTTGTCTTTGAATCAATTTTTAGATTTTAGTTAGTGGATTGAGTTCCTATCTCTATTAAGTTCTTATTTTAACAATAAAGCTAACATTAGGACTTACTTCAATATAAGTTCAGGAGATTATTAGTCAAATCAAAAGATTTATTTGTAAGAAAAATATATAGGTCAGAGGTATTTTTGCATTTTACCTTTTCGTATATCTTAATATTTGTTTTCATACAACATAAGTTGAAATCATTTGCTGTTGAAAGATGATTATTATACAAATTTAGCGAAAATGATACTCTCTGTAAATTATTTTTAGGTTTAAATTATTTAGACTAATATTAGCTTTTGCATCTGTTGGGAAAATGGATTTGTTGTTTCTATTATTACCATCTAGTTCTGCTAAGGTTTGTATGTGTGACTGTTGTTTGTTGATTTGGTAGAGTTGCAATTAAAATGATAATCATGTAGTAAAACGGTAATTTGATAATGGTATTAATGAAAATATGAAATACTGAACTCACAATATTGAATATTAGGCGCGATTTCTGAATATTGAGCTCTGAGTCTTTCAGTGTGATTTGATTGACTATGAGCATTAACCATGCCATTAAAGTTTACTATTTTGATCATCCACCTTAAGCCGTAGAGCCTCCAACCTTCGACAACTCACCTCAAATACCAAAACACCAGCATTAAGCTATTAAGATATTACTGAACACCCAATGACAAGAGTATAAGGCATTGAAAGGGTAATGAAATCTCTAATGATGTCATTGGTGAATTTGACAAGTTTTCTCTGTTGTGGGAGAATTGTTTGCCAGACATGTATTTAAAACACTAATAGGTTTTAAATGGCTTGTCCTTGGTGCATTCTGCATTGAAAAAGTATCAACTCTCTATAACTTGCTTGTGCTTTCTTTCCAGGAGGTGTACCCAGATAAGTTAAGGATTACTGGTTGAATAATGTATTCAAAATTCCCTATTTTAGGCATACTCTTGTTCTTAAAAGTATATTTTCTTGCCAAACAGGATGTTTTCTGGTGCTGGTGTGAACATTATAGTATTGATATATCTTGCTATGATGGCATTAGACACATATGTGGTTATGCATTAAGTCACACAAATGTTTTATGATATAAAAATAAAAAGTCAGGAGGTCCTTTCACTCACTCAGTTCACAAAACAAATCCAGCAGAGTATTTTATAAGATTAGTGTGACTGAAGCAGGTAGCAATCCTTGTTCAGAACTATCTAATACTAAGGGCCCGTTTGGGAAGTGTAGTGTGATGTAGTGTACTGTTCTAGCCTAAAACAGAACAAGTGTTTTGTAGTGCGATGTTTTGGAATGAGAACAAAACATGTTTGGTGTTCCAAATTTGCTCTGAGAATTTTGGAACAAAAACATGGTAAAACATGTTTGGTAATGTATATTGTTCTAAGAAATATGAGAATAAAACATGTTTTGAAGACTGAAAGTGTAACCAAAATCAGTAGAAAAATAAAATAATTAAATATGTTGGATTAAGAATGTTTTTAAATAATGTTTTCTTGAATACATTTTTTCTAACTTGGTAAATTATAAAGTTAAATTTAATTATGGTATAATTTTAATATACAATTGGTATAACTTTTAATATATATATATATATATATATATATATATATATATATATATATATATATATTGTTCCTCCATTTATCTTAATTTATTATAAAAACCATTAAAATAAATTATAAATTGCAAAACCTATTAATGCTGCATATTATTTTAACAGTTGTCCCATACATTATTTTGGTATAAAACTGAAATAAAGTTTCAATATATTATACATTTCATGAATTTTAATATATTACATACATGAGTTTCAAAAATATCTCCGCATTCGTCAACAGTCACAATAAAAGTTCATGAAATAAAATTAAACTAATATATTACATCATTTCTCAACAGTCACAATAATCAACAACAACAACATGAGCAAAAACAACAAAAATATAGTTGTAGTCTACTTTCATGTGGTTGAATTTTGAATTTGCTCTTAAGTTGTTCTGGTACAAGTGTTTTGCCTGTACGGACTATCATGTCTTTTCATATATTTTTCCAACCATTTGGACTAAAAGTTGTGTTATTCCGATTACCAGCCTTCACTTCTTCCTCCATACAGATAATGACAGCTTCAATATGGGAATCATCCCATACTAGTTTTCCATCATCGGTATTGTCTGTAAGGTCCTCTATTTTTTCTCCCACCACATTATCAGCATTGATATCCATCTAATTACATAGTTTTAATCAAAATGTGTTAAAAAGGTCATTAACAACTGTAATCTCCTATTAAGAAAGTATGAATACATTTACTAAGTTGTCATAATAATATGACTCATCATGAGTTCTACAACTTCAGTATCAGTAGAAGTTTAATTTAATCATAATTGAATAAGTATTGATGATGGCATTATTCAATGATCTTGTTGATGTACTCTATATTATAATACCATGAGGATGTTTTTAGCATTAACACTTATAAATTTTCAATTGAGGGCAATGAATACCCCGTCTATTTTAATTTTGTAGTATATATATATATATATATATATATATATATATATATATATATATAGAGAGAGAGAAAAAAAAATGAGAATAATAGGATCATCATCATAAATTTTATCTTTTATTTTCAGTTTTATTTTGTCCAACTGTTTGCGTATAGTAAGTAAATGCTTCTGGATCATTTATACAAATATGTAATAGAAATGTGAATTGTGTGACCAAGAAGTTAACACACCTCTAAGCTGCTTTGTGCCAATACAAAAAGAGGGAAACAAAAATTGTCCTTATGTGTGTATGCAAGAAACAAACTCCAATATACCATATAAAAAATTCCACTATGTTCAATAACTGCTTCCATGTTGAGTTTCTTACAGCTGTAATCTCCACTATGTTCACTAAAACCAATTTCACTAGTGTTCCAAATCAAGAGTCACTTGAAAACCCTTATGCTCATGCGGCTTAATTTCAACACGAAAA